GTTTTGGTTTGGTCACCTATTTCATTTGTTTACCAAAAGTGTTTTAAGCTTTAGAAGACAGCATTTGGCAGAGTTAGTCAATATATAGAAGAAGCACAAGGTTCTAAAGATGTTAGATTGTCATTTGTCATTATCCACATGGATAAAAATTGTTGCAAATTTCAGTATATCAATTTTATACCAAAAAGTGGGCAGTTTAATTTCCTCAAGTTTTCCCTTTGTGAGTTGTGTCTTGCCCCCTCCTTTCTTAGGGACGCCCGGTGCACTAAGTTCCCGCTATTCGTGGGGTCCGGTGAAGAGTCCGATCACAAGGGTCTATTATGTGCAGCCTTATCCTACATTTCTGCAAGAGGTAGTTTCCACGGCTCGATCGAGCCCCTCCTTTCTTATCCTGTACAAAAGTAGCCATTGCTTATAGATGTAGCTGCACTCCGGATATTAATATTTGATAGCGATAAACAAGATATTTTCTATTAGATTTAATACCTTAGTGTCAGTATAATGTTAAATGTTTTTGTTGAGAATATTTTTCACAAGAAATATTTTGTGCAGTGGAATAATTATTGTTCTGTAAGTCATTGTCAACACTTGGTTGGATATAGATTGCATTAGTATGGTGTAGTGGACGGTGGGTTGTACATTAAGAGTTGTGTTTGGTGATTATTAGGACTATCTGAAAAAGAAATAAATGTGTATACGTAACTATGAAAAGTCATATGCAGTATGAGCAGTAAAAAATTTCGGTGTACAAAATATCCTTCAATCACGTAGGGTTCGGGAAGGCGTGCATCATTAGGGATGATGTAGTCAGTTTACTCTGATGCAGAGGCGGCCCGACTAATTTTGTGGCATAAAGCCAAACTTTTTAAGGGGTCTTAATTTTTTATTATTATTTAATTGAAGTCTATTTTTTTTAGCTTTTCTTAGATACAAAGTTATTAATAATTTTCTTATAATCAGTAACTCCTAATTAGTATTTCTGAACTAACAATATAGTTAATCCATTTAACCTTTCTTCTGACATTGTTGTTTTTAGGTAAGATTTTATCAATTTTAATTTTAAAAACTTCTTTCCGCTGAAGCAACGGTGACATGAGTTATTAACATTATTCCATAAGAAATTTAGGCATTTGAAAAAGAATTAAATCTTTTTATTTGATTAAATGTATCAATTAAACCGTTATCTTCTAATTGTACTATTCCTTAATACTTTTAATTCAAAAAATAAATTTAAACTATCAATATCGAATTGATTATTATGCTTTAAAGAACATTCAAGATTAAGACAATATTTTTTCAAATTTCCAACATCTATATTGCCAACTAGAAAACCAAAAATATTTTCATATGCTTTGAATTGTTCAAATCTATTTTAAAGTGAAAAAATAGCTTTGTCTATTATGTATTAAAATAATCAACTCTAAAGGATCCTTCGAAAGATTTTGAGATTTCATTATAAGCAGTCATCACTCACATCAAATTGTTACTTCCTATATATCACACGTTTCTTACGAAATTCAGGTTTGATATTCATTTCAATTGCAATTTCCTTGGTAGAAATCATCGCAGTTCCAAATCATTCTTCTCTATATTTGTTAAAGAAAGAAATCAAACTTTTTCACTTTACAGAACTTTTTTTTAAACTTATACATAGTCTATTAGTGGTAACATAAAATGGGGCCTCCACAAATATGGTGTCTAAAGCGGTTGCTTTACTTGCTTTATGGAAGGACCGCCCCTGTCCTGATGCAAGTATTAATAGTTGATTCTAGGCTCGAACCCGTGACCTACTGATCACACGGAGACTTGATCGTTGCTCCAAGACATAGTACGAGTAGTGATAATCAAATTAATGCTGTAAGTAATTTTCTCTATCAATCACTAATTTTTGTTGTTGTTATTATTATTATTATTATTATTATTTTGCAGTATGTTGATAGTAAGACAAAATCTTAGCTGATTGATATATTGTATTCATTGGAAAAAATTGACAAAGAAATATACTTTACGTGATATCAATTTAAGTTATCAAAAGTTGGTTCGTCTGAGAAGCTTTTATCGTACCAAATTAGGAAAAGAAAGGAAGGGACAAACATCTATCTTTAGTAGTGTAATTCGTTTTTTTCTTCCAATTAAATTATTTCCTTTTACGATTTTCCAAAAAAGGCAAAAACCTTTCAAAATCTTGAGAGGCCCACTTGATTTACTTCGCTTTCTAGATATATTCGATAAGTATAATTCATAGTCTTTGAAACTTGGATATTTATTTTTAAATTTTTAAATAGAAAGAATGCATATTTACATATAACGTACTGATGAGTTCATCACATTCTCGGGTAAGGAAGGTTGGCCTTTTCAAAAGTGGAGGGGACCATATATATTCTGCTGAATTTAGTAAGCAAAACATCATCTTTTAACAGCCATTTTTCACTTGTCACCGAGTGGCGGAGCTAGTATTTTCACTAAGGAATATCAAAATATAAGAATTTAAATATACCGTAAAATCAAAAGGAGTCAATATATAATAAATATACATAAAATAAAAAAATTTATCTAGCAATACAGTGTAATTTTTCTACAAAGGGGTGTCGATTGACATCATGGCTCCGCCACTGTCGTCACCTATTGTTATTAAGACTTATTGGTGATAGTTTACTATTTGGAATTTATCAAACCTTCTCATAATTAACTTCCACTAAGTTATTCGATCGAAGCTTTCCACGCCTTGTTGCTAAAAATTGGCATGCCGGACCAAGTCAATACGTAGGGGCAGATGGATCTTTTCGCGTCACGAGTCAAGAGAATTTTTACGATATCATATCACCGAAAAGATAAATGAAGACATGTTACGGGATTAAACAACAGAAATAAAAAATCCAATTTAATCCCATAAGTGGAAACAAGTTACATGATTAAAGGGAGATAAAAATCAAAAAGTTTTACAAGTTTAATTTTAGAATCAATTTTCTAACGCTGGATAACTTAAAAAAGTGTAGCTCGGTGCATTTACATCCCGTATTCAAAGGTGAATTTAGGATTTCAAGATGATGAGTGCACTAGTGGATATAGAATTTACATTTGACGGATTTAACTTTTGTCTCTTACCATGAACCCACTACGCTTTAGAAATTGTGGATTCAAAATTATATTACTTTTTAAAATTTTAGTGATTTTCACACACATATATCTATACTTAGTACCGAAAATAAGACCCTCAAAGTGGGATTTGAACCATTAATTTTATTTGTAGAGGTGCACCAATAATTGTTGCACCATAGGAGTCTTTAAGCATATGTGCACACATATGTATTTAAGTAATTTTAAAGAAACATAACATTGTTATACATGGTTTACAGAGAGAAGCATGTGTTCACATGAACCCATACCCCTTAACCTAGATACGTCCTTGTCCGTATTCACGCAGAATCCGGGAAAGGGCCGCACTCCAAGGAGGTATGATATAAGCAACATACCTTAATGCAAAGGTCAATGGCTAATTCTATGGTTCGAATTCGCCACTTATAAATCGAAAATGACTTAGACAGTTGCTTCAAAAATCCCCTTCAAACTTTATCTTTTTAAAATCGTACCGAGAATGGTGGCTAGAGTTGCATATATTCTACCATCTGTTAGCCTATGTCACTGTTACTAGATAGCCTAATACTTTGTCTGGATTAAAAAAGAGCCACATTTTACTTTAAATTGGAATAAAACAACTACTAAATGAAAATGATGTGTGCGTACCGTTGCAACTTGGTTTATCTAAAGCTGAAAATGCCGTTGCACAAGGACGACCAAATCAATCCTTTTCATTTGGGAATTATTATTCTTCATTTCTTTGCCACCCATTATTTGATTTATATTTTGCGCCGTGACTAAAAATTACTAACTCCCAACAATTAATTTGTCAACGTAATCTATTTTTTTTGATTAATATGCTTATTGGAAACAGAAATTAAATAAATATAGTTAATTGTCGGTCAAAGATTAACTTATTTTTGAACGAGTGAATGTATAGATTTGTGAAGTATTTATGTTTTTTTTTTTAATAAAATATTTTGTGAATCAGAATTTCATAAAGTTGACATGAGATAGTGACTATTCAGAGCAGCCCGATGCACAAAACATCTCGCGTTCATGCAGGGTCCGGAGAAGGCCGTATCTTAAGGGGGTGTGATGTAGGTAGCATACTCCGATGCAAGCAATAACAACTGATTTCATAGTTCGAACTCATGAATCATGATCACACGGAAATAACTTGACCGTTGTTCCAGAGCTCCCCTTCGAGATAGTAACGTCCAACTGAACTGTGACCTTCATCACCCCAAAAAGGTAGCCGACGACCTATCTTGATGGAAGCATCAATGACTAATTTTACAGCTCAAACTCGTGATTTATATATCACACATAAATAACTTTGACATTGCGTCAAGGCTCCCTTCCAATAAACACTGCCAAATAAATAAAATATGGACAACTTTGGGTAACATTACGAGAAAGATTATTAAATTGTAATTCCATAAGAAAAAGTTAAGAATAATAACTTATTGCTTGTTTGGCCAAGCTTCACCAAAGCAAAAATATTTTTTTCTCAAAAAAAGTATTTTTTTAAAAAAATTAAAGTGTTTGGCCAAACTTTTAGAAAATAATAATAATTTTAAGTAGAAGCGTAAACAGTTTAGAAAAGTAGAAAAAAATATCTTCTTTCCAAACCCATTTTTTAAAAAAGCACTTTTGAGAAAAATAAAAGCAATTTTTAAAAGCTTGACAAATACTAATTGCTGCTCAGAATTACTTTTCAAATTAATTAGCCAATAACAAATTATTTCTCACCAAAAGTACTTTTGATAAAGAACACTTCTCAAAATAAGTTGATTTTTGCGGTTTGGCCAAATAGGGTATTAGTAAGACATATTAAAAAGGAAATAATATAAGTACTAAAGAAGAAAAGAATAAAAACAGTGGTTTAAATTCTTGTGACACAGATCCATAAACAATAAAAAGGAGAAGGTAGAAGTAAAAAGAGTTTTAGGTTGAATTCAAACTCTGAAATAGGATCAGAGTTGCAACATTTATGCTTCCAAGTTGCAACTCAGATCCTGAGATTAAAAACAATAAAGTTCTCTCAACAAACACAACATAGATTTTGCCTTTTTGTATATTACTATTAGAATTAGAACATCCGAAACACGCCATCACTCCCTCTCCTTCTCCTTCCTTTTTCTGTTTGAAAAGTTGGAACCGTTACCTCAACAACCGCTTCACCAAAACCACACTGTTTACTCAAAAACTCTCATTTTATTAATTTCAGTTTTTCTTCAATAAAACTAGGGATTTAAGATTGTTGTGGCTGAGTTTCTGATGGCGGAACCGAGTCGGACCGCTGGTGTTGAGTCGTCGTCGTCGCCAGAGACCGGAATTCCGACCGGTTTGAACCGGATTAAGACTAGGCGGCTTGAGTCGAAGGAAAGGCCGAGTTCAAGGCTTGTAGTAGATTCCGATAAGTTGAATGAGTCTCCTCGTTCTGGAGCTTCCACGCCTCGTTTGAAGCAGGACCAAAGAGCTGCCGCAAAAGGACGTAAAGGTCTTTTTGCTAAATCTCCTGTAGTTTTTAAATAGTTAACCTTTCTGTTCTACGCATTACGATACTTTTTAATGCAGTTATTAAGTTTTTGATTAGTGTTAGTTTAAGAGTTTTATTTGATTTGTGTATTATAGTAGTGGCAATTGAAGAAGATATTAAAGTAATAGATAAAATGTCGCGTCAAAGTTTAATATTGAGTAGTTAAATGAATGAATTTTTTGAAAATAGTCAGAATAATATTAATAATGGAGTGGTGTTGAGCATTTTGGAATGATAGAGTGTAGTTTGCATTGGAAAGGGGAGGTAGAAAATTTCTATTGTTTGATATAGTCAAATGGTAGGCTGAACATGATGATGCCATTGGGCATTCGAATGGTGTATTAGCTATTTTTTAAAATTCTTTTATGATGGTGGTGCCCGAGGCTCCGAGCTAGCTTGCGCATGACTCGAGTATTCCACCGGATGCCTACTACTTCCCATCTATAGGTGTATTAGCCATATTGTCTCTGCATGTCTAAAAATGATACCTTTTTTTAATAAGGATTTTTTTTAAAAAAAAAAGTAGTGGATTTTTGTTCAGATGAAGGAAGATATACTTTGGATTTATTGGTCTCCTGTCTAGAGAAGCTAGTGGATCTGATAGAAAAGAAACTCTTAGAGTTGGGATCAGGAGATTGTAGACATTGGGGAGCCAATATCTGCTTTAATTACTGAAGTTTTTCAGCTGAAAGCTGTATGGTAATTTTCTAGAAAGAAAGTTGGTATATGTATAATAATTTCCGTAACGAATGTATGCACAGCCTAATGCCGACGTCTAATAATAATAGAATGAACGAGTAGTCATAGAATGAACGAGTATTCGAAGACCCTATCCTCCCATATGAATGGAGAAGCTTGTTTGAGAGGGAGGAAGCTGGTCATTTGTCTTAGTGAAGTTGCAGTCTGAGCAAGTATACTTTAAGCTGTTATATGATCAGACTGTGATTTTCACCTTTAAAAATGTCATCCTCCGTGTTGTACTAGTGCTTCCGATGCATAGATTATTTATCATTGCCTAAACTTTGGAATTCCTTGGTAAGATTTAAAATNTTTTTAAAATTTTCGGCAGCTCTTTTTCTCTGTCCAAATTGGATTTCTGTTCTACTAAACTTTCTGGTCCTTTTACCTAACAGGACACCGTAAAGGCAGGAAGATAGCTAGTTGGTTTGCGTCATATCTCTTTAAGGATTTAGATCAAGCTGGTAGTGGAATTTCAGTAAATCAGGTAAGAAATGGTTTAGCTTGCACATAAAAGTAGTTTTGTTAAGTTACTCTGGATGTGCTATGATATGTTTCTGCTGGTTATTTGATGTGCTGTGCTATGTCTCACTGTTTGATGATTTGCAATTTTAGGTTACTGACAAGGAGGGTCCTGGAAGGAATGTGCATAAGATGGGGAAGCATGTGACAATGAGGCAATCTTCCCAAGGAACAATGCCTAATAGTAAAGCAAGCAAAACATTCAAAAGTTTTTCACACGAGCTAGGTCCAAAAGGTGGCATTCAACCTTCACCTCCGCGAGCTCACAGCTATAATGATCTAAAGGTATTTCTTTCGACATTTCTTGTTCTGACACTTCCAGTTATTAATTGAGGATGGTAAGTGATAAGCATAGGAAAGAATTAGGTTCTGATACTTCCAGTTATTATTTTTGGGGGGTAAGTGATAAGCATAGGAAGGAATTACGTTCATTTTAGAGTGTAATGATCAAGATAAGTAGGTCAAATGGGGTGGCTGATATGGTTTTGAAGTTCAATATTAACTTTTGTTCCATTGGATGAGATGCAGGAGCTGATTGGATCTCTTCGTTTAAGATTTGATGCTGCTAAAGAAGCAGTGAACACCGAACTAGGCGGTTTCTTGCAGGAGGTTGTAGAAATTGTACAGAAGAATGAGAAGAATGATTCCTTGCCTCTGGATGGACAAAAGATGGCTGAAGAACTTGTTGTTCTTGCTCAAGATTGTATCAAAATGACGTGCTTAGAGTTCCGCTCCAACTGTGAAGCAATTGTCCAAGACCTGACTATGAAAAGACAAGAATGCCAAATGGGTCTTTTGAAATGGTTGTTGACACGTATGCTTTTTATATTGACACGGTGCACAAGGCTGTTGTATTTTGCTAAGGACAGTGAGCCAGTTGATGAGACATCTCTGGCCAAGCTTAAAGAATGTCTAAATAGAATCCCTTCTATTAAAACGGATTGGGTTCTCAAGCGAGGGATATCTGATTCGGAAGCAGGTTGTACTTTGAACACAAAGGCTGGTGGCAAATGCAGTTCGGAGGAAGAAAAGACTTCAAAATTTTCCTCCNCTTGTTCCCCCTATTCATTTGGAGTCTCATTCCTATATATGTGCTTATGCAGAGAAATGTGATTCGAAATCTCTAGATGTAGATGAGCGCCTTCTGAAATTTGCAGAGTTACTGGATCAGCTTGTGGAATCACGTAATTTAGGATTTCATGCAACGTCTGAGATCCAAGAAAATTCAAAGCTGAGAAGTGCAAATTCTGGGAATACATCTGAAAGTTATTCACCAAATATGGGTGAGTGGAGAAGCAAAGGGATAGATGGAATGTTCGAGGATCTTCATGAGATGGATACAGCCAGTATAGAGGATTCTCCATTAGCAGCATTCGTTAATTTGAAGAGTCACTTGGGTGCAAAGTTTAATCATTGTGGCCCACCATCTTCAACAGGGAGCATGACATCAGTATCCTCCACAAATACCCCTCGGGCAGTAAATTTTGACTTCTGGTTAGAGCATAACAATCTTTCTGAGCTAGAGGATGTCCAGCAGGTTTGTCACTGTACTCTGAATTTTGGTTGGCAATTTGTCTCAACTTAGTGAGAAATATGTGTTGGTTCGTGTCCAGAAATCCAAAATTTAGTAGTGAAGAAGCACTAAAGTTGGAATCCAAGTATTTCACTCCATATACTAATGATCAATTAAGAAAAATCACAGGAAGTTCTCTTGTTTTGCTTGTGTCTGTCTAAGAGGAGGAAAATGGAGTAAGAGAGAGTATGTGAACAAAATAAAGGATTCTAATGCTGGCGATGATCATTTAGCAATATGGATAGCTATAAATAATTGTGTACAGCTCATTCTTTTGGTGTATTAAATCTTATATTTCTATCGGGTTGCTTACTAGACGCGTCAGTTTCTAAAAGTCTTTCCTTGATCATTTTCCTTACTAAATCTCCATGGAAATCATAGCCTAATGAAGGAGGATTTTAGAGTTGGCTTATTTTTTACAATTGTTCATTAGTGCTATTTCATAAAAGGAACTTCTTTGTTTGACAAGAAACCAATAAATCAATTTGGGCTAAATCGAAATAGAGTAGTGCTTTAAGTTCTCAAGTCACTGCAGTGATTTTTCTGCTACCTGTTCCGATCATTCATCTCTGGAGAATACAAAAGATTCATTAATGATTATGTTCTTTGATTTATCATCTCTTTCTTTTTCCGAACTTTCTTAACCAACTCTTTTCCATGTCTCGTTATTAATATTCTTATACACTCTCTGTCCCATTTCATGAGACAGTATTCTACTTGGAGGATGCAGGTTCCTAATGAAATATTTGAGGTGCGTGCAAGTTGGACGTGACACCAGCCTTATAAAGAAAACGGGAAGAGTGTCATATAAATTGGTACAAGAGAAGTACTAAATAATTAATAAGAGAAATCTTTCGTATTAGTTACTGGGATGAGTTTGTATAGTTTCAGGTTTTTAATTGATTGAAACACATGATCTACCTATGTTTCGTTAAACCTAATAATAATTCTCCAAGACTTCTTTTGCTTCTCATTAACTCGTTTTGCAGTTTAAATATAAATAAAAACATTCTAAATTTGAGATTTCTGTGAAAAATCTGTGTAAGTGATGATATGGCGCTAATGCTGCTATGTTTCAGAAGTTTATAGCTGATAATGTATTAGTGTACCTCTTTTCCATCTCCATAAATTATTATCATTTCAGAATTAACTATACTGTGTAGATCAATAGTTTCTTTATTAAAGAGCTAAGGACTTAACTCATTCCTGCATGTTAGATGGGCTGATTTTGTCCTTTCCGTTTCTTTTTCCTTCTTAGATTGCTGATTTAGCAGATATTGCACGTTGTGCGGCCGGAACAGATCTTTCAGAAGAAGGATCTCATGAGCCTTTAATTGCTTTCATGCAAGACCTACAATATACTTTACAAAATAACAAGCTAAAAGCTCTTGTAGTAGATACATTTGGGGGACGAATAGAGAACCTTTTGCGGTACAACTTTTTGGACTCGTCGTATATTAGAATTTATAGATGAAGCAGAACTGACACTGCTCCACTACATGCAGAGAGAAATATATACTTGCTTGTGATCTTGTGGATAGAAAAGACGGTTTTGGACATTCAGAAGGCTCCAAAATGTTAGTGGATAATTCATCTCATTCCAGTATAATGTCAACTCCTTCAAGTTCATCACACAAAGAAAGAACAAGCATTGATGATTTTGAGATTATCAAACCAATCAGCAGAGGTGCCTTTGGCAGAGTTTTTCTGGCACGCAAGCGGTCAACTGGAGATTTATTTGCAATCAAGGTACCTTTTGAGTCATCTTAGCCTTCAAATCAATTAATGTATCTGATAATTATATTTGCATTTGCATAAATGATATTATTCAACTCTTTTCCTTATGTTTGTGGATACCAGTAGACATCTACATTCCTTTACAGAAAAGATCTCACGTTTGTTGGTTTCTAGGGATTGTTGTTGGAAAGGAGGTTTTCTATTTTATTTATTATTTTAGGGATACCACTTAATTTATCCCAACTTTAGTGCTGACGGATCTTGTTGTGGATTCAATAAGAAGAATTAAGGACCTTTTTTTAGGTGGGCTAGTGGAACACATATTTTTAGAATACAACAATGAATGGGTGAATTCATTTTCGATGATGAAAGTAAGAGTCGCACTGACGTAGGGGGGGGATTTTGCATCTTTAACAAGACGCTGTTTTTTCAAAGTATGCTGGTTATAAGTACCTGAGAGACATGGAAGTTCAATTTCTATGCTAATCATTAACTGCTTTGTCAGTGGACCACTTTTGCATTGCATCCTGCGAATGGGAGAATTAACAAGTTGGAGAAGCTTGTGGTTAGATTAAGGGACTATCTTAGTTATGCAGCATGTTTATGTGTATCAACAAATATCTCATTGAAGTATTTGTCTGCCATCGTATTGTTACTGAAAACTTCTTTTGTATGACCAAGTTGGTACCGATTTCTGACATGATGCCATTCATCCTATATGCAGGTTCTCAAGAAATTAGATTTGTTGCGAAAGAATGATATTGAGCGCATATTGGCAGAGCGCAATATATTGATTACCGTCAGAAACCCTTTTGTGGTATTAATTTTATTTTTATTTTTTATTTTTCCTTTTGTCGGTCTCAGTAGGATCATGAAGATGCTTTCACGGTTGTAGGTCCGATTTTTTTATTCATTCACCAGCAGAGACTACCTTTATTTGGTCATGGAGTATCTTAATGGCGGTGATCTATTCTCTCTGCTTAAAAAAGTTGGTTGCCTTGAGGAAGATGTAGCTCGAACCTATGTCGCGGAATTGGTACTTTTCTAAACTTTCTTGTCATGAAATTTTGCAACCTTTCGAGCTCTTTGAAGGATGTGTTTTGCCCTTCTTCAGGTCCTTGCTCTGGAGTACCTTCATTCTTTAGGAATTGTCCATCGTGACCTCAAGCCAGACAACATATTAATTGCTCAAGATGGGCATATAAAGGTTGGTTTAGTATATTAGAGATCTTTGAAATGATGAGGAAGCTAAAATTAATTGTATTTTGCTGAATGATAAGTGATTCTCAATTTGCCAGTATTGATAACGCCCCCACCCCCCACCCATCCAAAGGTGTCCCAAATTTGATCGCTCTGATAGGAATCTTGTAATCCTAGTATCAACTCCATCATAAATCGTTCTGCAGAGTACATGCATGTTTTTGATGTATTTCTAGTCTGTGTTGAAGGGGATCATGTTCTAACCTTGGATATGCTTAACCAGCTTACAGATTTTGGTTTGTCGAAAATTGGACTAATGAACAGCACGGATGATCTATCTGGACCCGATACAAAGGATGTAGTGCTTCCTGATGTTGGTAGCCAGCAAGANCATGTTCTAATCTTGGATATGCTTAAACAGCTTACAGATTTTGGTTTGTCGAAAATTGGACTAATGAACAGTACGGATGATCTATCTGGACCCGACACAAAGGATGTAGTGCTTCCTGATGTTCCAGATCATCTATTGGACAAATCTCAACGGTCAGCTGTTGGTACCCCTGACTATTTGGCTCCGGAAATTCTTCTTGGAACTGAGCATGGTGAGAAAGAAATTGCTATACTAGAGTTGGTGATATGCTGATACTCCCTCCCCATGTCACCTTTATCTAAAAATAAAACATAATATAGATAAAAGGGGGATGTCAGGAGTGACAGTGAAAGGAACAAAACGTTGACTTTGCCATCTGATTATATGTACAGGTAGCGCTGCTGATTGGTGGTCAGTAGGAATCATTTTGTTTGAACTCATCACTGGGATTCCGCCTTTCAATGCCGAGCACCCTGAGGTATTATATTGCGGTTCCTCCCTATTCTGAGCATCATTCACATTGCAATTGTCTAATGTATTACTTTTTGTCATATTGAAATTATAGGGAAAATGTAACTCTTTCAGTAGTCATTTTGCCAGTCATAATATTAAATAGGTGTGACCTAGCTATATAAGATTGGTCTTTCACTAAAGTCCTCCATTCAGTTTAGGACAATTGTAATGTGTGCATGTGATTCCTTGAGGACAGACTTTGACTCCAGTTGACAGATGCTAAGTTGGACTTTAAGTTCATATAAACTACAATGCATTTTAAGAAGCAGGAATTTCTTAATGATAGTTGACAAATTTTGCCTTATTTGTTTGTTGCCTTTATCTTTAAGAAAGCTACCCGGAAAATATATAGCACCAGATGACTTAATAGTTGCAGTAAGTATGGGACTTCACCTCCTCAACACATTACTGTTTCTGGCTTGACAGGTTATCTTTGATAATATTCTTAACAAGCAAATCCCCTGGCCGTTTGTCCCAGAAGAGATGTCCCTTGAGGCACAAGATTTGATTGACAGGTTAGCTAATAATACCATTTTAAATTTTATACATGAACAATCCTCTGGGGACCAATTTCAATGGCAGTCTAGCATCCTCTTATAGAATGGTCAGGTCCGAAACGCTTTCTTCGTTTAAGTCTTTATTTTGTACTGAAGAACACGCATGGATTTTGCATAGACTAGGTTGGTAATTGGTACATCTTTTGGTGCCTGTAGTTTGATTAGTTGGAAACAAACGTCTCTGGTTTTTATTGTGAGTTTTCACCTCAAAATCATGTTCCTAGGTGATCTCACAGTAGCACATTTCCAGTGCCTAGGGGCTCTCTTGGGTACCAGTTTTGTATTTGTTCCTTGGACATCATTGATGCAATTACTGTTTATTTTCTGTTTGAAACATTAATAGTACCATTCATCCTTGAATACCCTAGTTGTTTAAATTACTTGGGCTGCCAATTCAACCATAAAATGTTTTCCCTTGATTTTGTCTGCTGGATGATCTAACTCAGTTGTAGAGCTTTATTGTAGGCTTCTTGTTCATGACCCAAATCTGCGCCTTGGAGCAAAAGGAGCATCAGAGGTTGTCTTGTGCATATTCTTAAAGAATAATATGCTCTTTGTGTACTAGTTATATGGGATGAAACTTCCATGGTTGGCACTAACTTTCATCATCTACTCCTCCATATTCCTACAGGTAAAAGCACACCAATTTTTCAGTGGAGTTGACTGGGATAATCTTGCCTTACAGAAGGTAGGCCTTACTGTATAAAAAATCAGTTGTGTGGGTTTGAGCCTGCTCAGCTTCTTTGATAATCTCATTTAACATATTTAGATTCATGATTTCTGTGAAAAAGGACTGGGCAGCACACTTTGTTAATTATAGTTTTTCTCTTAAAGAATTAGCTCCTTCCTCTTTAACCATTATCTTTTCCATTTTCTGTATATTGGATAGTGGTAATTAGTTGAGTGCCAGTTAACTTGTGTAATGGCAAATGCAGTCATTTTATTGAACATAGTTGTAATTTCTGTTAATATGTGTCTAGATTCATTGTCTATGCCATAACTAGGAATTTCAGTAATCAGAAATCTTTCGTTCTTTTGGATAACGTAGACTCCCATATAGTGCTTTTGCATATCTTTCATCAACAATTGAATCAGTATAGGCAGATTTTTTTTAAAAAAAGGGGCAGCCGGGTGCACTAAGCTCCCGCTATGCGCGGGGTCCGGGGAAGGGCCGTACTACAAAGGTCTATTGTATGCAGCCTTACCCTGCATTTCTGCAAGAGGCTGTTTCCACGGCTCGAACCCGTGACCTCCTTGTCACTACGGCAGCAACTTTACCGGTTACGCCAAGGCTCCCCTTTAGTATAGGCAGATTGTTCTCTTTAATTTCTGATTCATTTGTTTCTATAGGCAGCCTTTGTACCACAGACTGATGGTGTTGATGACACAAGCTATTTCGTATCCCGTTATGGTCTAAGTGGAGTGCAAGATGATGAAGATTGTAATGATTCTGCTTCCGACAGCTCTGAGTTCTCGTCGAACTTCGCACTTGAGGTAAACTAAATTTTCTACGTAAATGCAATCATTCACTTTTCAAGAAATACTCAATGTATGGCCATGTTGCATTATGCTAATTCACTCTATCACGAGTAGCTAGTTACATACCATATCGGCGAGAACACTTTTTGTCCTCCCCACCCCCCACCCCCACCCCCCACTATGCATATACTGAATGACATCTAATAATGCAAATTCTTTCCTTTCTGCTCACTTGATATGCTACATGGCCTGCTAAAGTTTCAGCATATGCATACCAGAATCTAATGCAATAACTTACTTGAACTCATCACGTTAATAAATTTAAAGGAGGATACCATGTATTCATTAATCACACTCTTTTTGCTGATTATATCTAACATAGAGTCTCTATTGATGTTTGCTTTGCAGAATATGGATGAATGTGGTGATCTCGCTCAGTTTGATCCTTCTCCTCTTGATCTGTCCTTGATGAATTTTTCTTTCAAGGTATGCCATGATGTTTACGTTATATAATCGTGAGTGCTCAACCGCAATCATATTCCCTACTTTATAAGCAGTAAATGAATAAAGAAATGAAGTGGGAAAAAAACGTTGAACTGCTATATGTAACCTTTGATTTATGATCCAAAGTCAAGAACAGCAAATCTGTATGAGAGTTTTTAACCATATGTATTCCAATTTGTTCTTCAAACAGAATCTCTCTCAGTTGGCATCCATCAACCATGATATGCTCTTGCAAAGTGGCTTCGATTCTTCAAGGTGCTCATCTCCCTGTAAGGGTCCAAGTGAATAAGCTACATATTCTTTTAGTTTCATCAGTGCAAATAAATGGAACTAAAGAATAGGTATTGTAAAGGGGGACGTACCCCGCCATCCACATGGAATTTGTCAGATCTCTCATACAACAACAACGGCCCAGTGAAATCCCATTAGTGGGGTTGTTGGATCTCTCATACAGGAAAAAAAATGAATGATATTTGCTGTACATGGAATGTGGAATGTAACATTCTAATGCAACATCTCACAACCAAAGCTTATAGTTTAGTGGTACTGGCAGATGTCATTCACACAATATATGTGGGTTGGATTCTCACTGTCCAATTTTCCTCCCCTTTTCTCATGTAATAGAAAATAAAATAAAGAATTAAAGATACTCAACATTCTCGTCGTCAAGGTTGGAGGTTATTTCTTTCACACTGTTGACAAGCTCAACTGTTGCTTGCGATTGAATATCTGATGCCCAATTGAAACTATTTCACTTGAAAATTCGTATAAAGTTACCAATTTGACTTTATGTGAACTGTTAATTGTACATGAAGAGAGTTTTATAATTCAGACGAAGAAAAATGAAAAGATGCTGCCGGGACTACTACAAAGTCCAAGTTATTTTTACCAATCAAGAGACTTCGTGTGCTCAAAGAAGCTGTTGCTGATGTCTCAAAAATAACAAAGCCCAACTTATTTTTCTACCACACCTGTCAATTTGATTCCAATTTTTTCTTCCAATCATTGAGGTTTTAGATTCTTAAATAACAGAGCTCATGTTAAGTTCTAACCAGCTTGTCCAACTATTTTAAACCCCAATTGCTTATTCAAAGTACTTATTGCTACAAGAATTTTCTTGGATTTTTTAATTGGTGAAAGAATATATAGATATGCCTTTTTTTCTTTCCAAGTTTTGCTGGATTCTACTAATCACATAAATTTATTACGCAGAATTTCTACTGGGCCTTCCTTGTTTATGCATTTGATTTTTTTTTTTGAGGGGGGGTGGGGGGGTTGGTTCCGCGAATATGTTATGCATGTTCTAAGTAACTTGGTTATTTTTATAGTAGTGAGGTATTCAATTGAAGTATTGAATATGTTATGCATGTTCTGAGCAACTTGGCAAATTCGAGTTTTTTAGTCCTTTTTGCTCTTCCTCTAAGTCTTAACTTTCAGCTAAATGTTGGTTGTGTCGGAGGAAGTAGAACTATATTTTCCAGTCTATTTCAGTCTGAATTTGGATAAATAATTCTACATTAAATTGCTCATTGAATTGTCAATTTAGCGTGACGAATCAAGGATATGAACTTACATTCATTTTTAGAGGCTAATACAAATATACTCGATTTGAAGCCATATTAATTAGCAGTGGAGAAGATGACGACAACAACAACGACGACCCAGTAAAATCCAACAAGTGAGGTCTGGGGAGGATAGTGTGTACGCAGACCTTACCTCTATCCCGAGGGGTAGAGAAGCTGTTTCCGATAGACCCTCGGCTCAAGAAGACGAAAAGAGACAATATACAGCAGCAGAGAAGATAGTAGCAAAATACTTCTGAAAGAATGGAGTATCCATGCAGTACAATTCCATGAGGATTATTGAAAGTACTCTTAGAGAACTTCCAGGTTTAAAGTGGTTAGAAGTGCTCTTAGATTTCAATTTTATTTTAGATAAGCATGATCTCTCCCATTGTTCTTCAATGTAGGTGAATTCAAAAGTTGTTTTAAGGTCAAGTTGGTAAGAACAGGTATATTTCTGGTCATACTAATTGTAACTTTTAAAGGTTAAAAAACTTGGGTTTCTGTTGAAATAATTCTTGGAGTTTCCCAACGTTAAAAAGGACGTAGTTTCTGATGCTCATGATTGAAGTAACATCTTGATTTAATTTAGAGTTGAGCACCACCTATATGGATTTTGTTCTAAATAAATAATATTCAGGCAGGGGCGGCTCTAAGGCTTTGGGAAGCGAGGCCATTGCCTTAGGCCCCCAAAATTTGAAGGCCCCAAAATTATTTTGAATTCTTATTATTATAGTTATTATATACTATATAATTTTTATAAATAATTAGTATAAAGAAAAATATTATAATATATTTTTATTTACTTAATTGAGGTTATTTTATACCAATAAATTTATAAATTATGATAATTTTCTTCCACCATTAATTAGATTATTTGCTTCATTCTTCAATTTTAATTTATTCTTTTTATACATGAATTAAGTTATATATATCGACAACAAAATAAATTTATTTTATAATATTCTCTGAAACTCCATGAACACAAAAACATTCATGTACCGATTTCTTTTGGTGTAATTCGACATATTATATTAGGTTATTTATAATTTATTTTAGATATTCACCAATAAGTGCTACTTTTTTTTTGGTCAAAATAATTTTTTTTATTCAACCAAATGTATATATGTACATCCTTTTGGACTCTAGGACTAGTCCTCTATAGTCAATACTTATCTAAGTAGCATCTTAAACTATACAAAGAATTTAAAGAACTTGCTACTTCTATATAGGAAAACAATTCAGACTTTTTAACACTTTTTGCCATTTGTGATATCTCTGCTCTCTAGTATGCAGCTGGAGGACAATTTCTCTCACTCTATACGCACTCTCTTTCTTTTCCTGCTGGAACCTTCGGCTAATTCGTTCATGCCAGACATGGTAGATAGTAGCAGCAAACAACGATCTTACAATTTCTTGTCTTGCTCTGCCTCCCCGCGTTCTTTTAGTTATCCAATTTAGTTCTTCATTCCATGTAGTTATCTATCTAGGTTCTCCTATCCATCGCTGCAAGATAGCCCATATATATATCTTGAATAGGTACATCCAAAGAACAGATGTGCAAACGTTTCATCTTCACTTGAGTTGCATAAAACATATTCCTTACGAACATGAATCCCCCATCTTTCCAATCGATCAATGGTAGCTAATAGTTGTCGAACTGCAAGCCACAATATGAACTAATGTCTTGGTATCAACTGTGTTCCTATAGTAATGTATTTCCAAGGGACTTTCTGGTACTGTGGACATAGAGATAGATATGCTTTCTTTATGCTGAAACCTTCATGTGTAGCACATTGCTGCAGTTCCACTGTAAGGTCCTTGTCCTTATACCAGTTCCTGGCATCAAAAATTTTCTCACAAGCCAGCACGCTTGTTTAGGTATTAGCATAGTGACTAAGTCCCTGTTTTTTTTACATAGAATCCATGAATCCATAGTACCCAAAGAGACTCTTTTCTTGTGATCACTGCCCAAAGAAGTTTACATATTGATGCTTTGTTCCATGTGTGAAAATTGATGATATTTAAAATCTCCAGCTAACTTGGGCATGCATAGTTGTTCCTATGACACTAGTGCCTTTCTTGATGCATCACAATTGCATGTCCAAAGAAATATTCTGCAGATACTCGTTAGTAATTGTATTACTTTAATAGGAAGACTTGAGCCCAATATGTTTGAATCTCAAACAATACGCTTTTGATGAGTTGTAATCTTTCACTATATGATGGCAGCTCGGTAGTCCAGCATATGATCTTTGATATCATTCTCTCTACCAAGGGCATACACTGCTGTATAGTTAGTTTCCTAGCAGAGAAGGGAACACCAAGATACTTAAAGGGCATCTCCCCTAAAGTGAATTGCATTTCAGTCAAGATTTGTTCCTTCAGGATTGTTGAGACACCAGTGATATATAAAGAACTTTTGTCCAGATTTGCTCCGAGGCCAGAAACATCTGAGAAGTGATTGAATGCTTGGAGCAGCAGCTGAATTGATATTCTATCCGCTCGACCACACATTATGAGATCATTCGCAAAGCATATATGCACCAACTTTATCTTCCCACACCTTGGATGGTAGTTGAAGTCAGGGATATGTTGTAGTTGCTTGAGGGTCCTGTTCAAGTATTCCATAGCCAGAACAAAGAGATAAGGACACAGGGTCCCCCTACCTCAGTCCCTTTTTAGCCACAAACTTAGGAGTAAGCCCTCCATTGATTAGGAGTGAGTAGCTCACTGTGGTAATACATTCAATGATCCAGTTCACAAACTTCCTAGGCAAGCCAAATTCTAGTAGAACACTCTTTAGAATACCCCACTCCACTGAATCATATGTTTTCCTGATGTCGATTTTGATTAGGCATCTAGGTAATAATCCTTTTTGAGTATAGCCCTTAACTAGCTCATGAGCCATTATAACATTGTCCAGTATACTCCTCCCTGCTATGAAAGCTGATTGGGATGGTCCAACTAAAGAATCCGCTACTATCTTCAACCTAACAGTGAGGATTTTTGCTATGATCTTGTACATGGTGGTACAACAAGCTATATATCTATACTCTCTCACATATGTTGGATTAGAGACCTTGGGTACTAATGTTATTGTGTTACAGTTGATCTCCTTTAACAGTTTTTCATTATCAAAAAATTGTAGGATAGCCTGAGTAACTTTTTCTCCTATCATTCCCCAAAACTCCTTAAAAAATTCTGCAGTGAACCCATCTATTCCAGGAGACTTGTCATTAGGTAAATCCCTCAGTGCCTGGAGCACTTCCATTTTTGGGACAAGTTGAATAAGAGCTTGTTGTTTCTCTCTATTGAGGCATGGTCCATCTTTGGCATAGTAGGTGTTTAGGCATGACACCTCATGAGCAGTTGTTCCTAGCAGCCTTTGAAAGAAGTTTGTGAATTCTTTTTGCACCTGTGTAGGCTCTATTAGTTGCACTCCTTGATCATTCCATATTGAAACAATACTATTTCTAGCTTGTCTAGCTTTGAGTTGAGCATGGAAGAACTTAGAGTTGGAATCCCTATGATTGATCCAGACAACTTTGGATTTTTGTCTAAGCACTCTTTCATGAATAGTAGACAATTTCTCTAGTTTCAGCAATATCTCTCTCTTCCAAAATTAGTTGTGGATTATAGAGATCATTCCCTACTTCACTCTGGATGTCACTAAGCTTTGACTATAACTCCTTTAGTTTATGATCTAGAGATGACATTTCTCTGTTTATGGTCTTAGTTGCCTGCTCAATATGCTTCAGCTTCTTGCATACTCTGTACATAGTATACCATGTGATGTTAATCTCCCAAGCTTTTTGAGTGGCCTCTTTGAATGCTTCCTGATGCAGTAGCACATCCAGCAATTTGAAGGGCTTGGGAAGTCTCTATCTAGGCACAATGGTAGAGAGGAGGATGGGTGAGTGATCTGAGCATCCCTGATTAAGATAACAAGCTTTCAGATTACCATAAGTGGTGAACTATTGATCATTGCCAAGAGCCCAGTCAATTAAGCTATAAATTCTATCCTCAGGATTTTGCTTATTGCTCCATGAAAACTGACATCCCTTCCTTCTGATTTGGCGAAGCCAACTTCATCTATACATTCCTGAAAATCTTGTGTTTTTGCTTGCTGGATAGGAGCCCCATTAACTCTATCATGGACCGACAAAACAGTATTGAAATCCCCC